GGAAGGAAGGAAGGAAGGAAGGAAGGAAGGAAGGAAGGAAGGAAGGAAGGAAGGAAGGAAGGAAGGAAGGCAGGCTGGCTGATTTGGACATGTGCTGACTGCTCCTCTTGGCAGCTCCTTCTCCACACCAAGGGAAACTGATGAAGGGAAACCAGCAGGAGGGTCCTGGCTGTGGGATCTGCCATAATCCATCCCAGCTTCTTGCAGATGCAGGGACTGTGGAATCAGAATCCTCAAAGCTGGAAAAGTCCTCCAAGATGATCAAGTCCAGGCTGTGACCAGCCTTGCCCCACAGGCATCCTCCTCCTCCTCACTGAGCACCAACCTCAGTTTGCCCACGATGGAGGGGAAGGGTCTGACCCCAGAAAACTCTTGTGGCTCTTTGTTTTTTAAAGACACCCAAATCTAAGCTCTCCTCCCCGGAGGCTCCAGCCCTGACTTGCTCAGAGTGAGGAAAGAGGCCAAGAGAGCACCAAGGAGGACTCAGGGCCAGGGCTGGGCCCCCCAAACCATCCCCTTGCAGCCATCCAAACACCTCCAGGGAGGCTGAGCTGGACAGAACCGAAATGAGCCACAGGTCAGGGGCTGAAGGGTTTGTTCTAGTACAGGAAGACACCTGGGATCATCCAAAATCACCCCAAATCCGATACACGTGAGCCAAAGCCAGCAGTGCAAGAGGGAGTTTGACTCTCCAGCCTCATCCTCCTGGGGATGGGGAGAGTCTGCTTCAAACCCAGCTCCCCATGGGAATGTTCTGCTCCACCCTCACATCCATTGCAAACAAAGATTCATCCCCCATTTATTTAGGCATCATTCTGCCTCAAATCTCTCTCTGGCCCAATATTCAGCACCAGCAGCTTTCCCTTTATTCCTCTTCCCACCACTTCCCAGCTCTTCATGGGAGTGTCCATAGCTTTTGTCCCAGCCTCTGTGTGCCCCCTGCACCCTCTCCCAGGGCCCTCCAGCCTCCACCAGGTCTCAGGGCTGGTTTCCAAGGCCTTCAGGCCCATCCCTGAGGCTGGAAGGAGAAGCAGACACAATCTGGGAAAGAACAAGTAGGATTTAGGCGGAAAAAGGCACAAAAAAGAGGGGAACCACTGCTGGGCAGGGAATAGAGGTTTATTCATCTGTTGCCTCCAGAAACTTGAGACTGGTTTTAAAACAAACCAAACAAAATAAAAGCTAAAAATATATGAATTCAGCCATTTCCAGCACAATGAGATATAATTTTATGAGTCAACTTGTCCTCCTCGTGTTTCCACCAGCCTTTAGCCCAAAGCAGACGGCCCACGGGAGGGAGGGCTCGACACCAGAGGGAATTGCAGGGTTTATTTGGGATGAATAAGGTCTCAAGGAGGGGAAAAGTCCCCCAACACCTACTCCAGGGACTGTCCGTACACGTGGACATGAGACAAGCTCAGTGGAGGCGTTACAGGTCCTGCGGCCGGGGCAGGGGGAGCTGGAGAGGGTCAGAACCAGCTCCTGGGGATGGAGAAATCCCAGCTGGGGCTGCTCTGGGCTCTGGAGACGCGGTGGGGCTGGGGGGACACACGGGGCACAGCGAGGTCCTTTTAGAGGATGGAGGGGACGGGGGAGCAGGGGCGCTGCAGGGAGCAGGGGGAGCTGCAGCGGGACGCCAGCGGAGCCAGGCCCACCGCGGATCCTGCCACACCATCTATGCTGCTCAGGCTCCGGGATTTTCCATAGCCTCGGTGAAGAAAACAGACAGGTTAGAGCCCAGCAGCCTCCTGCCCGAGGCTCGGGAAGCTGAGAGCGCCAGGCTGAGCCCCACACCCCGAGCAACCCCCTAGAAAAATTCAGGAAGGGATTTTTGAGGACAACCAGGCTCCCGTGGATCCTCCAGACCTTCCCACTCCCTTCATCGAGCAGCGCCGGCCAAATCCAGGACTCGAGAGTCATCAATGAGGAGACCAAATTGCTCTTGTAGGGTGTTGGGTTTTGTTTCCCAAATTGCTCTGAATGAGGAATGAGTCTGGGGATTTTGTGGGCTGAAGCAGACGGGGAAAAGCAGCAGAACTCAAACAAATATGGGATTTGGAAGGAGTGATTCCCCCAGCTCTGGTTTTTACACCCCTGTAACAGCAAGCTGCTGCTGACACCTTCCTGTGTGGAAAGGAGCAGGTAGATGTGCTCATTATTTCCATAAGAAGTTGCATTAAAGAGCAGATATTTCTATTTCTTTAAGCATGGGGACCTTTCACACTCCCCCAAAGAGCCAGGAATTTCTCCAGCTTTTATTGAAAAAGCAACAGCCAGAAGAAATCTCCTCACAGGTCAAAAACCACTTTTCTTGCTGGAAAGACACAAAGCCTTTGCACTGAAAACTGCATTTGGAGCTCCACAGAGCACCACTGCTAAGGATGAGGCTGTTCCCTGGGTCTGGTGCCAAAAGATGGAAAATTGATGATGCTCCCAGCCGTGCTGAGCCCAATGTCCCCAGGCCTGGATCTTCCCTGAGGGCACCCGGGTGAGCAAACCCAGCCAAGCCTGGGCCTTCCCAAGGCACCAGCGAGTTCCAGGGAAAGCAAAGCCAGGGAAGCAGCGTGGGGGGGGTGGGGAGCAGAGGGAGGCAGCTCCTGACAGCAGAAAAACAAGGTGATGGATGGCCCCTTCGGCAGTGCCAGGCTTGGAACCCCTCCCCGTGTCCTGCCCCAGGAGCTCGTGGCACACCTTTGGGTTCTGCTTTGGTGCTGGTTGGGGCTTGGACCAGGGGTGTCACAGCAGGCCAGTCAC